TATTACAAATGAGAGAATGGACAACGTGACGCACACAGTTCAGCAACAAATGTACAGTGAAACAAAGTATCTGTAAGGGGGATCCCAGTAATGCATACCAGTGGCTCAGGCAGTGTGCCTTAAAGTCCGGAAAGAATGCACAGAGCCGTAGCACCAAAACATCCAAGAGATGCACAGTTTTAGCGCAGGCAATCAGCCGGCTAGTAACACTTTTGAAACAAAACATTCCGACCAGCCTCATTCGTAGAAATCACAATGGCCTGCTAAGTAAAACTTTCGGATATTCTGTGTTTACATAATTCAGAATACTACAGCAGTAAAGCAGACAAGATAGAGAGCGCATGAAAGAACATCACAAGAAGCTCGAAATTTATTATGAAAATTTTAAAAGCGAATGAAGAACTGCCTTTACAAAGAGCAAAAAAGTAAGCTCAAATCAATCAGTAACTGTCTTTCATAGTTCACTAAAGTAAATTTTCACTCGGAAGCAGTTAGAAAGAAATTGTATCAAACAACAACTATCCGCTGGCAACTTATTGCTTACGAATTTTTATTTCGAGGATTGCTTAGAAACAAGCTAATTTCGACTCTTACTTCCGAGCATGTACCAGTACTGATTTATCACTGGGATGAATAACAAGCTAACAGAATTGAAACAGTTAAAATCAAAAAGCTACCGTTGCGTCATATTCGCCAAATTACATTCCAACTTATACGAAATTAACATAAAACAGTCCTTGTAAACGTTTTAATCACTTGTCAAGAATGATGAAGTGGAACATACAGTGAAAGAACATTGCTGTTCAACGTAGGCGCACTGTTTTAGCCTAACCAAAATCAGAATGTCTTCCTGTGTAAGACTTTCTTTCCTTCATCCTCATACTCTTTCTTGCTAACCCACATTTTCTTGAATGTGTCAAGACTGGCCAAAATGGATCCTCCAATCCATGTGCCATATAATCGTTCCTGCGGCGCAGATATCCGAATTTTCACATCCTTTGGTGCCAGTCGACGCGTCTGCAAATTCCACTGTCAAAGTTTGTTCCACTCAAATTCACTTCATGACTTCCACTTAACTACCGGCAAACAAGATCATTTGTACATAAAGAAAGACCTCTTTTACGAAGGGAAGGGATGGGTATTGCACATACAAAATACAGGGTGGAGGAAGAGGCTGAAGAATGTCATAGAACTTACTTCTGCCAACAATCGATCACCAAATCCGGCAAACATCGTCGAACCTCCGCTCAATACTATATTGCTATACAAGTTCTTGCGCAGATCAATTTCACATTTCTGCAAACGCAAAATTTGGTCACTGCACTCGAAACATTCCCCAAGACAATTATTTCAGTTAAACTCCCTAGAAAAAAATTTTTTTTCTGATGAGAATGACCAATTTTAAGGTAGACGTTGATGCAAAACCCAATCTTTCGCTAGTTGGTAGAAATCAACAGAGGCACGGTTCACTTACTTGAAATCTTATCAGAATTGGTCGAAGAACTGGAAAAGTTGCCAGTTGCGTGACTAAGAACCAGACTACATATTAACGGCTGTTTCAAATACTCCAGTTACGAGAGCAAATTAAAGCTTCTTATACATGAAAATATTGTGGTCTTAATAATAATCGAAAACGTGCTTCATAAAAAATAATTGACCAGCACAATGACTGCTGGTGCGAAGGTGCGTTTTTTTTTTTTTTTGCACAGTTCCTCACAGGTTTTTGTTATTATCAGCACTGTTTTTTCCGGTAGATACTTTTAGCTAAAAGAATTGAGGCTGGTTATCATGACTGTGAGAAAACATCCTCCTAAAATTCCAGCTCTCTCGCTTCTATAGTTCCCGCCAAAAATTTTGACGCGCCCCTACGTAGGAACGTGGGCAATAGAGTCCATTTTCCATCATAATTACAGATGAAATTTAGACGGAACGAGAAAAAGTACCCTTATGGACATATCAAGAGCTGCTGAAATACCAGGCCATTCTTCACCAATGATGTCCGGTCGAAACAGCACCTCGGCAGCACGGAATCTTGCAGGACCGATTTCAAGCACTGAACCATCGGGAAGCTTGTATGCTTTCTAAACATAAGGCGCCAATGAAAGAACCCTGACATTCACAAAAATATTGATTACCCGACTATCGTGCGATTCAATAAAAATTGGACCTTTTCGTTTTCGCTACCCTCTTCTTTGTCAGCATTTGCTGCAATGTAACACACGTTTTCTTTGATTTCGCGTACAATTTCAAATTCGGATGAACGATGAAAATTCGCGCCCTCTTTGCGAAGCAGTAGACGAAGATATCTTGTCACATCACGCCCCGCCACATCCATTCGTTCAATTCTAAAAAGCAAAAAACGCAACACTACTCTCGCACAATGGCATCTACAACACGATTCAAAGCAGCAAAATATTTGGTGAAATAAAATTTTGCGTGGAGGCGAACCCATGTTGTATTGCAAAGCCTTCGAAGATCGGTACCACATGCGTTACGCCATCGCCCGAGTCAATAACGACGCCGGTGGTGCGACCCGTTGAATAGAGTGAGAGAACGGCCTGCATTTGAATGTGCAGCGCCGGCACATTAAACGTTTCAAAAAATATTTCTGCAGATTTTTCACGATTTTTCAGCGGATTCAACGGCGCTTCAGTAAGCAGCACAGGATGTTCCTCTGGGAAAACCTGCAACCGTTTGTTCATTAAAATGAAACCAAACTGACCAACATTAGTTTGCAAATCAAAAGTCAATCTAGGCTTTAGAACTCATAAAAAGCTTTGGGCTCATGATATTAATCAAAGCTTTACGAAGATGAGAGGAAAATCCCTGCAAAAAAAAGCACTTCATGAAATTATGAGCACTGCTGCGAGACAAAGTACGAAAAAGTTGCAGTTTTTTTTGGATGACGCTGACAGAATTAATACCTGTAATTGATCCTTGCTGTAGATGTGCTGCCACACCCGTTCCATATCGTTCCAGTCGGTAACTATGCCATGCTCCATTGGGTATTTCAGTGCTAATAAACCCCTGTATTCTTGCGCTTTGGGTCCTGTAATTCATCAAAAGCAGTCTGAAGCATGGAGCATCTTGTGTTCTAAGGACAAACCCATTAATAAAAGAATTTTGACTGAATTTTCAAATCTCTGCGGAAGTGCTAGAATTCAAATGACTAAATATGTGTCTCTTAAAAATAGATGCTACGCTGACTTAGCTCAACAACCTCCGCAGGCTTTTCTTTTTTTTCTGTTAACATAGAGTTTTTTTTTTTTTTTTTTTCTTTGTGAATAACAGGAACTCAGCAAGGCAAGAATAAAACCTCTCTGGAAGTATGCGCGAGTTTACCGAATACGATGCTTGAAAAAATTCCTGCGCCGAGACTAGTTCAAGTTAAACTCTGTTGAGGCAAATGGGACAGTTACGGTACAGGACGTTTTTTTCACAAGAGTAAATCAAAGTAGGTGTTGAAATGGTGGTAAGAAGCTAGAGGTCAACGGCTCAACACTGTCAGTGTGGTAAGCAATCCATTTGTTCGCCCATTTCGATAGTCAACTGGTGCTGGCTGTGTCAGGGAACTGCCATCAGATTGCATGAGAGAGCCATCGATAGCCTTACCAAAATGCAGTTGCTATTGGCACATCCTACCACTCCAGCTTCATCCGCTCGCCCTTCACAGAGGGCAAACATGGGTCAGTGCATGGGTTCCATTTTACTTAACTTGAATCGGAGCAGATGGCAAAGCGTCCGCTAAAACTGAGTTGGCCACTGAGCGTCTCGCTTGACGGCTTATGGTAAATGTGCTGAACGATAATTCGAATGCAAAATGAGGCGAGTGCTTCTGTGACCTTTTTGCTCCTCCAAACAAAATAATTGGCCAACGCACGGGCTGCCCGTGCGAAGATGCGTTTTTTGCGTGGTTTCCCGCAGTTTTTGTTGCTACCGGCACCGGTTTTTTTAGTAAATGCTTCTAGCTAAACAAATTAAGACTGGCCACCAGAACTGTCAGAAAACATTCCCTTAAAATTTCAACTTCCTAGCTTCTCTGGCACCTGAGTTAGCAAATTGCTGGAACAAAATTTTCACGGACCCGTGCATGTTTACCAAGGATACCTGAGAGCTGAGTTCGAGCTGAATGAAACTTAGGTGGACGGGGTATATCCTCTTAAACTAGCATTCCTTTAGTTTCTCAGGTACTTCAGTTATCAATTTACACGAAGAAAATTTTGGCGGGCCCGTATGTGGGTACCACGCTTACCCAGGGGCTGGGTTTGAGCCCACTAATACCTACTTGGGCAGGGAACATTACCCCAAGATTTCAGCCTTCTAGCTTCTCAGATCCCCGAGTTATGAACTTACCTGAAAAAAACTCTGGCGGGCTCATACGCGGGTACCACGCTTACCCGGGGCTGGGTTTGGGCCCACTAGTACTCGCTTGGGCGGGGAACATTACCCCACGACTTCAGCTTTCTAGTATCCCAGAACCTCGAGATATGAATTTACGCGGGAAAAATTTTGGGGGGTCCGTACGCGGGTACCACGCTTACCCGGGGGCTGGATCTGAGCTCATTAGCAATTGCTTGGACGAGAAACATTCCCCTAAAATTTTAGCTTTCTAGCATCTCAGAACCCCGAGTTATGAACTTACCCGAAAAA